GTTAAGTCAGAAACTAAAAGGAATCTTCTAAGAAGGAGCACGGATGGTTTTTTCTCCCAGACGTTCGAGAAACAGGCTATGCCCTTCTTCGCTGGATTCAACCGACAACTTTCCCTTATTCATCATCCATCTTGAGCTTGACGGCTTGCCCGTGCGTGGAGTATTCCGTCCATTTATTTATTGAAGGCAAATCAAGATCTATTACTATCTGTATTCAACTGTATTCAAAGGATCCGTTGTTAGCAGTGTCATCAATGTAAGCGAATTGGCTATACTAATAGGACTAATAGGCGCTCCTTTACCCTTTACCCTTTACCGGATACCGGAGGCTGCTACTATGATGCCTTCTTTTGGATTGTATACCACTAACGACTATCAAGATAGGCAGGATATGTTCTTTATGGAAAGACGGTTGAGGGGCACTACACTGACTCGCTTTTCCGAAAGGTTTGATCTTCGCCGCAATCCGCCTCTTTCCCAAGTCTCTCTCACCTTGAAAGCAAGAGCATCTTTATTCTTTATAAAGTTTCGTTTGGATTGAATCTCTGACTCCCTGGAATTTAAGGAAGTCCCGAATAAGAGATTAAGGCCAGAAGAAGAATCGGAAAGAGACCGTGCCCGGCAAGGGCTTAGATATAAAGATATAAATTCCCTTGTTTCAGCGCTAGGGCTAGGGTTCCTCCATCCGTTTATTCAATAGCCTATCTCGAGCCAAGCCAGTGACGATAACTAAGTAGTTAGTATATAGTTAGTATAATAGTATAAATAATAGTTTACTGGGACGATCCACTAGATCCATAAGCCAAATAAGCCAAGATGAATAGCCTTTCTTTTTAAGCTTTTTAAGAACCTCGTTCGATCCCGAACTGCATTCAAAAAAGCGAGGTACAGAGAACAGAGATTCGTTTCACTATGTGAAACTCATTTAGTTCAACGAATTGTGAAACTCATTCGACTGAAAGGAACCGAAGACGTGTAGGCTTTATGATGAATCGCTTCCATACCTGGTAAATAAAAGATTCGTTTATCAACGATACGTATTACTTGACTATATTGACTATACGTATCTTTTCGTTACACTCATTCCACTTCTTTTTCCTTATGGTGGAAGACTTACCTGAGCTCACCACTGTCTTACTTTTCCTTTTAAATCTTTCTTCACATCGTCCAGGTCCAGCTCCAGATTCATTGCAAGTCCGCAGACCGAAGCCAAAGAAGCAGCAGGAGAAACGGAATTCAAATAGAACTTATTCTAGTAAGTTGCTCACGAGCCAGTTAAGATAGAATCTTTTTGATGAATAGGAGTCAGTGTTCAAGGCAGAATAAGCAGCCAAGGCAGGACGGAGTGAATCAACGATCCAATCCCCCCTCCGGGACTTTTCTGTGTCCATGCCATGCTTTGGCTGGTGCCAAATCAGGTGACTTTGAAGTTGAAGCTTGCCCAGTAGGCAGTTAGATGTAACCATGCTGGCAGTACTATGATAGCCTTAGAGCTTGAGGGTCTCTGTCCCTAGGAACGTGATGCTTAGGTGCCAGGTTTGATATGATATTGATCCAATCAGTCGACGTGAGGCACTCTTTCTCTTATATAGTCTTATATAGGCTATATTGGGGGCATCTAGCTCTAAAGCGGTAGAACAATATGATGCAGAGAATATTCTGCTTTTCTTCACTTGTTGGCTTAAAAAAAGACATCCATGGCACCCGCTTCAAGTAAAATAATAAAATAATAAGTCCCACTGTCCCCTAAGCGTTTATTCCGCTAGTCTTGAAACTCATTTGAAACGAATACGTAAGTCTGCTTCCCCCAAAAAGAATAGTCTAACTAGTATAAAGCTAGTATAAAGAACTATAAGCTATTTAGATACGTATCTTTCCGTTCGCTCTTCTATCCTGATCCAGCCGGAGGTCTTCGAACCTTGAAGTAAAAGTCTTCCAAAGTCGTATCTCATGAAAGAAAATGGGTTGCCTTTATTTATCCGGGTGGGGGAAAAACCGTAAGGAGATGAAACCAAAGGATATACGATTATGTCCAGTATGTCCAGAGGAATTTGGACCAAAGTACTTTCCATGAGTACACCTTACTCCGTAACTGGGTAGGGATGTGGCTTGCACTGGTTTTATTCAACGGCTATGTCCTTTCTAGATCGCTTCTACATATATTCTACATATAAATACATATAAAGATGAAATGGAAATTGTACGATATGGCAGCAGGGTGGAATATTTCCACAACACCGAACACGTACCGTTCTAGAATTCCCATTTGAGGCTACACTGGGACAACTTTTCTACTGGCCCCGGTGGAGTTATCACCCCGGGAAAATGTTGGGAAGAAAGGAAAGAATTTAGGTGCACCTGAGCGCTTAGCCCTGCTAGAAAATATCCGAAACAGGTAACCCAACTGGAACATCCGTAGTCACATTCTCTCTCCCTTTTCCCAATACCAATAGACCTAAGAGGGTTACGTCAACAACGGATAAGGTAGGATTCGCCGTTCTTCACTACTAGTTATAAATCCTGTTGATATCACTATTTCCTTTGTTCGGAAGAAACAGGAACTCACTCTTTAGCAGTTGAAAAGGCAAAGCAAAGCTAATCGGGAGGTACGAAGTGACTAGAGAACAGAGATAGTGAAACTCATTCGAAAGAGGTACGAAGTCACTCGAAGAGGGGAGAGGGAGAGGAAAGCGGGGCAGGCAAAATAACCATTCCGGTGGTGGATAGTGGAGCAAAGGATGCCTTATCATCTCATCCAAAAGGATGTAGAAAGAGGAAGGGCTCGCGCCACATCTCATAGAGAGGAGGAATACCAGGGATGATAAGGGATAACTCACTCTACAGCTCAAAGGAATGGGAAAAAGTCATTCCACATTACTCCTCTTTTCGAATAGCTTTATTTAAGAGAGAATAGGTGAAATGGCTATACGGCTTCCGAATTCTTTTTGAAACGTATGTTGATTGAACTAATAGATGCCTATTCACATAGCGTTCCTGGATCCTCGGGGCGCTCGCATGGACCAAGATCGAAAGCTACTCGAACTTCTCCAGGAGTAACTAAATGCCCAGAGAAGTCATTACGAAGGGAAGGTCAGGTTGAGACATCTTATCCTCTGCCAACTTCGGCTCTCTATAGAACCTTGGTTAGAAAGACAAGTCTTCTTCATTCAGAAGATTGACTTCTCTCTCAATCGGAGATCTGCTATCAGTACAGGGTAAATATTTAGGCTATCAGTCCGAGATCAATGAAAACTTATGACCGATTCTAAGTAGTAATATTTCCACTGTTATGTTATAAAGAAAATCTTGTCTTCGATCTTGTTGGTCTTGGTTGCTTGATCAGGTAACTCCGCACTTCTTTCTGCCGATTGGTGAATTAAGGGTATGCTAACACAATACCAATATGTAGGTTTTTACTTCCAAAACTCGGTCGAATTAAATAGAAGACTAAGGTTTTCCATTCGGTAGGTTCCCTTCTCCACTGGTTTCCACGATGCAGTCAGTTGATCGCAACCTTTACCACCGGGGAATCCCTATTCATGATCTTCATCCTCCCCATCGATGAACGGTACCCTTGAGCTAAATACATTAACCGCTGTCAGCCCTAAGGAGAAGAGAAGGCAGCCTGCAAAGAACGTAGGAAGAATCTTTCGTCCTTCTACCAAGTTGAGCAATCGCCTATACCTTCTGAGACTTTTCTCACAAGATACCTTAGAAAGGGGTAGGGAAGCCAAGTCTTTTTCTTCGTTCTGGAAGGATAACCCGGTATGTATCGGTGGTCTGACCCTTGCTGAGAAAGCAAAAGAGAAGAACCTGCTTAAGTCTTAGTCAAGGCATATCATCAAAGCGGAACGGAACTAGAAAGAAAAATCAATAAAGAGGCTTAGTCAAGTCAAGCCTACTGAATATCTAGTTAAGTATACCTATGAGTTAAGTTGTTTATGAAATCAGGTCAGCGAGAGAGCTGCGAGATCGTCCCCACGATGGTGTTACAACAAGTCGTTAGTCAAAGCTGTCAATCAAGATCTGATCTTCTCTTGCAAATCTTTTTCCTGACGGTACTACACTATCTATCAGTAGAGCGCTCAATAGCGTTAAACGGATCCATGTTATCAAAGAGGAATTTCCCTCGAGCTGGGCATGAGCTATTCCCATCTAGTTACGCGTAGTGGGACTTCTTCCTTTCAAGATCGCCTTGCCTTTATGAAAGTACGCTTTCCTCCCAAAATCAGTGAGTTGACCCCAGTTTCCTTCACTCGGGTATTTGAGTTCCACTACACTAAGACGAGAGAAGTCGGGATTTGTGGATTTCGCTACGAGCATATGAGCTAGGAGCATCGACAAAGATCTCCTTTTAGGAAAGCCGGAATGGATTTTTTGCATCCTTCCTTCTTCGTGAGTTCGTATGAAACTGGTGACTAAGCCTTTTCCTTCTGCCTTTGCTACCGACGGGCTATTCCCTTATAACCTTATAAATATTATAATAATATTATAAATATAAATAATTTAATCCTTAAGCTGGATAGCCTTTAGGCTTAGTTAGTGTTGAGTAATCCCCCCCTTAAGCTAGGCAAAGGAGTCAAGATCATAAGTTATAGATCCAGATTCTGCTCTTCGAATTGTATTTGCTCTTGGCTCTTGCCTAAACTCCATTCTGATCTTCCTATCTTTAGTTCTCTATCGAAATCACAAGCATAGGGGACCTCGGACTATGAATTTGAGCATCTTTCTGTTGTCAAAACCAAACCCTACAGAGAATTGCACCGACAAGTCACCTGCTCTGAGAATATCTGAGAATATCTGAGAATATCTGTAAGTAGGAAAGCCATTCCCTTGTCGTTTACTGCGTGAACTCATACGCATACTTTGATGCTAACTCGAATGATGTCTCGGGAGAATTTCTTTTTCAAGCACCTCCTGCAGGAAAAAGAAAAGGGTTGACCATGCGGGGAAAGATAGATTGACTAATGAGCGAGGTACCTTAGCTTATATGTGGCCAGGTTGAAACCTTCCTTTAATAAGTCCCAATAGAATAGAAAAAAGAATGAAATGCCGGGATCTTATCAAGAAGGAAGAAATGGACCACACTACCTTAGTAGAAGTTAGTAGAAGTAGATCTCAACTAGTGACATTTACTAGTTGAATGCTCTAATCTCTTCAAGAGAACAAACAGACATAAGAAATAAATATCGGAAAATCATCCAAAGGGAGAAAAGAATTATCGAAAGAGAGATTTGGAATAATTCTACCGGTGCCCTAAAGAACTGCACTCTTAGCCGCTTGTGCCTAACCCTAGACTCACTTCGCTTGCCTCCTTATCTAATCCATGTATTTGTATTTCTTTGAAAACCAGAGCTTCCTCGCTTGAATAAGCATGCGCCGCTTCCTTCGCCGAGTATGGTAACCAGAAGAAAGTGCTTCCCATTTTTTGAGTCTAATCCACCGATTCTCGGGCTCAGTCTTTCGACTTATCCCCGCCTGAGAAGAGAGAGAGGGATGATAGGGACGACGCTTCAACGGGATCGTTTTCTTAACCGGACTTACCTTCACTTTCAGCGGATCATGGCAGGGGGCTCTATCTTCGAATCCAGCCAGCTACGTGGCCTATTTACTAGGAAAAGCGAGAGTCTCCGTCGTCTGCGAATCTATTGCTTTCATCGAAATAAGGAAGGGCTTCCCTTAGGATGCGAAGTGGAACCTCTTCCCATTCATCTTTCCTTTGGGATGAGACAATTATGCTCTATTGACTCTATTGAATAGTAATTGAATAATTGAATAAATAATTGAATAATAATTGAATAGTAGTAGGGTCTTAAATACCTTCCTTCGCTTCAAGCCGGTTCAAGAGCCCAGAGAGAAGCTTAAACTCCTTACGTTACTTTTTTCCCTTTCAGAGGGTCCATTTTGCTCTCCTGCTCTTCCCCAGCTCTTATTCCTTAGCTGGCAGCTGACCTTTCCCTTGGGGCTTAGCTCCTGGCTGGCCTAACCGGGTGAAGTATTGCGTATAGAAAGCAGAACGAAATTTGTGAGTCAGCCGCTATAAAGGATAACTCCAGATCTTTGTATGAATTTGGTCCGCTTTCAGGAACTTAAGTAACCTGGAAGTTTCCTTGATTTGCTACTTCGAACTTATCTCTTCATATTGGGTTGGTGTTCAGTGACTGGCCTTTTTCTTGTTGTTGTCGAGTGCCTGTAGCTTTACCCAAGCATGAATGGTTTTTTGAGACTAAAGACAGTGATGGAAAACCAAAAATCTGATTGAAAATTGCGTATATAGAGATGTATTCTCGGAGATGTCTTAACGCCCAAAAACTCCCATGCCTTTCCGGACCAACCACCGGCGATTTCCAACAAAACAAGTCTTTCTCCTTTTTTAGAGCAAGAAGCGGAACTACAAGAAAAAAATTTATTATGTTACAATACATGGCGGCGTATCTTAGAAATAATCTTATAATTAGAAATAATCTTATAAATAGTATTCATACTTCGAATAAGATTAGCCATGGTGTTCTTGAGGGGATACCGGTTAATAAAGAAAATGCAGATTTTTTCATCAATTTGTCCGTCGAGCAATCAACTGTTTACATTCAAGCGGATAAGATTGACCCCATGGTTGACATGAAGTTAACTAAGGTGAACCATTTACTTATAAATATGAAACATTCTTTTTGCAACGGTATAACCCCTCCTGGATATATTGAATCACTCCAACAGGAATTGAACAATGTACCTGCAGAATTACAAGCTATGAAGCTTGAACATATGTATCAACGTGAATTAACAAGTTTGTATAATTATTATCAGTCTCAAGGTTACTCAAACCCGCTTGAGCAATGTGCGAAATATCTAAATTATTGTGCAGATAACTATGATCGATGTTTACCTACTAGCCCACTTGATCAATTTGATATTCTCCCCTTGATTCCTATGAATATAGGAGACTTGTATTTCTCATTCACAAATCCATCTTTCTCTATGCTGCTCACTCTCAGTTTGGTCCTACTTCTGCTTTATTTTGTTACTAAAAAGGGAGGAGGAAACTCAGTACCAAATGCTTGGCAATCCTTGGTAGAGCTTATTTATGATTTCGTGCCGAACCCGGTAAACGAACAAATAGGTGGTCTTTCCGGAAATGTTAAACAAAAGTTTTCCCCTTGCATCTCGGTCACTTTTACTTTTTCGTTATTTCGTAATCCCCAGGGTATGATACCTTATAGCTTCACAGTGACAAGTCATTTTCTCATTACTTTGGGTCTCTCATTTTCGATTTTTATTGGCATTACTATAGTGGGATTTCAAAGAAATGGGCTTCATTTTTTTAGCTTCTTATTACCTGCAGGAGTCCCACTGCCGTTAGCACCTTTTTTAGTACTCCTTGAGCTAATCCCTCATTGTTTTCGCGCATTAAGCTCAGGAATACGTTTATTTGCTAATATGATGGCCGGTCATAGTTCAGTAAAGATTTTAAGTGGGTTCGCTTGGACTATGCTATGTATGAATGATCTTTTATATTTCATAGGAGATCTTGGTCCTTTATTTATAGTTCTTGCATTAACCGGTCTTGAATTAGGTGTAGCTATATCACAAGCTCATGTTTCTACGATCTCAATCTGTATTTACTTGAATGATGCTACAAATCTCCATCAAATGAGTTGAACGAAAAAGGTACGAAGTGACTCGAAAGAGGTACAGAGAACAGAGAACAGAGATTCGTTTCACATAGTTCAACTCATTTGAAACGAATCCTCATAGTGCTTCTTTTCTCTGAAGTCTACAACAAACAACTTCTTTTCTTTATTTATAATTGAACAAAAGCAAGGAGCGAGAGTACAGAAGGAGTTGAACGTAGTTAGACGAAAATTGAAAATCAAAACAAAGGATGGATAATTGGGCTATAATTGCAGCTCCCATCCAGAATTCTCTTTGAGAGGCACCAATCCTAGTAGAGTCGCTAGAGAATTCGTTTCAAATGAGTTGTTCGTTGAACATAGTTCAACAACGAACAACGAATAGTGAAACGAATTCCCCTCTTCGAGGGACTCCCTTTGGTCGTACCTCTTCGAGGGACTCCCTTTGGTCGTACCTCTTCGAGGTACGAAGTCACTAGAGAATTCGTTTCACTATGTGAAACTCATTCGACCAACGTACGTAGTCGCTCGAAGAGGGGAGTCACTCGACCTACGGGAGAGGTACGACCAAAGGGAGTCCCTAGAGAATTCGTTTCACTATGTGAAACTCATTCGACCTACGGGAGAGGGGAGTTACTCGACTGAAAGGAGAGGGTGGAACGATTTCTCATAATATCAATTTTGTATACCGGCTGTACCGATTATATGTCGGATAGGCGCCCGCCCCCAAGCCAGTGTCCATCTTCATGAAATGAACGGAGCCTTCTATCCCGGTGAGCAATGTTCCTTAGGCGGGGGCAGGATTCGAACCTGCAATCTTCAGGTCATGAGCCTGACGAGTTAACCAACTACTCTACCCCGCTTCTTCCCCTTGCTTCTGCAATGAATGCAGAGCCGCTCGACTGGGGCAAATCATCCTAAGCCAAGATGAATGGCTTTTGTACCTACGAAGTGACTCGAAGAGGAATCAACTGCATCTGCTGATGTGCTTCCTGGTGACAAGTAACCAAGCCAGGACACCATTGATTTATGGGAACTTGTCGCCAATTTCATGCTTCCATATCAGGCCGCACCAAGCCTTGAAAGACTTGCCTGAGGCTTCAAGAGACCGGGTTGACCATCTCCCCGAAAAGGTAATAGCAGAAGACTTGTATGTGCTGCTGGACTCAACACACATGATCCCAGGGCAGTTCCCTATCCTTATCTGGAGCCACCAAGTGGATGGTCACCGACAGCATAAAGTGGTTGTGTGCTGGGACATGCCCTTTCATAGTTCTAGCCTCTTGCAAAAGCTTCTGGGGTGTCTTTTTTATTCATTTATTCATGATGAAGGCCTTTGGTGTTAACTTGCAAAGGGCATCCAGCAGGTTCCCATGGTTTTCATTACTAATGAAAGTTCAAGTTTGAAGAAAGATGCTTCTTAGTGTTGTTGAACATAGTTCAACTCATTTCGTACCTATTCCGTATCTTTTCTTTGAGTTATACTTCTTCCGGGTGAATCTCATTGTGCATTGACTTCCGCTTCCGTTTTCCCATGTTCCGCCTCTTTCTTAAACAGCTCTCGCTCATTTATTTCTTTATTTCACTGAAGCGAGCTATCATGCTTTTGCTGGCTTCTGGCCTAAGAAGGCCCATCCAAGCATTCCTTTAGACAAGCTAGCCAGTCAGTGTGAGAAAGCACTTTAAAAAGTTCTTTAAGCACAATGAAGTAAGAAAGTTCTTTGACTTTCCTGCAGTCATATCAAAATAATATAAATAATATATTATATATTAATATAGGTTCTCCATTGGACCTTCAAACTCAGGTGCGCTTAAATTCTAACGCAGGGCTATCACTCGCACCAGGTTGGTAACCTAGTGCGGCTGTGATGGCTCAGGTTGGCATCTCAGACCCAACCTAATCTCGAGTTAATGAGATCTCACCAGTTGGGACCTCCTGAATCCCTTGAGCGGATGTGTCACCCCCAAGGTGGGTCTCGTAACACCGCCAGAGGAGACCGATTGAATCCGTCCTTCTTAGTCACGGTGGGGGCTGAAAATAGATCCTTCAAAGGGGGAGGTGAATGTTAGCGTACCAGTACAGGTACTTTAACCAAGACTCCATCCAATTGCGAGTCAAGGTGTACTCAGCATTTCCTTCAAAGCGGGATAAGCCCTAACAGAAACTCCACTATGATGCCCTTTAGATAAGGATTGAGTGGTTTCCCATTCTAAAGGTAGTGGAGAGCGACCAGGTGGCTTGTCTGCCACCACTTCCGGTTTAAGGAAGCCGTCCCAAGACTCGGTAGCCCGCTCCAGCCAGACGAAACAGTGTACTTCTATTGAGAGTATACTTTTCAGCTAGCTGGGACAGGCCCAGAGTTGAGCGGACCGTCGAGCAGAGACAGGTGAGAGATCTTTTGACCTCACCCAAAACTGCTTAGCAAACCGCTCAAGGAGGATGATGCTACCTTTTAATACATAATACACTACTAAAACCTTAACCATGCCCGATTCCATTCGACTACACTTAAGCCTTCCTAACGCGTAAGAGGCCACCCACCTTTCACTATTCGTTGACAGAGAACAGAGAACAGAGATTCGTTTCACTATGTTACACTCATTTCGTTGAACTAAATGAGTTGAACATAGTTCAACGAATCTTCGGTCGAATGAGTTCGTTCAACTCATTCAGTGAAACTAAGGTACGTAGTCTCTGAATGAGTTGAACATAGTGAAACTCATTCGAAAGAGGTACGAAATGAGTTTCACTATGTGAAACAACGAACAACGAATAGTGAAACGAATCTCTGTACGTTGGTCGTACCTCTCCCGTTGGTCGAGGGACTCCCTTTGGTCGTACCTCGAAGAGGTACGAAGTCGCTCGACTAAAAGGAGAGGTACGAAGTCGCTCGAAGAGGGGAGAGGAAGTGCTTGCGAGCCAAGGAGCCACCATCATCAGACCGGATCAGTCATGACAGCCCCCAAAATAAAAAAAGTAGAAAGAATCCCAAGACCAAAGGAAATGTTCACGAATAATATGCAAAAAAAGAGAAAAGGCCAACAAATTGGATAGATACATAAGTTTCAATAGAAAGCGGATTATTCTTATTCCATAAAAATAGAGCTATTGCACAAAGCACGAGATTGGTCGGTTCCTTCTGATCCTAGAAAACGTCCACCCTACAAAGGCACCGAGTTGACCATAACAAACAAAGATGCCTTTTTTTCGCCAGCCTAAAGAGGCTGCCGGGCTGTGCACTTCACATCAAGGTGACAGGATTCGAACCTATGGCCCTCTGTACCCAAAACAGATGCGCTGACCAGACTGCGCTACACCTCGTCTCACCAAACCGAAGGAAATGTCATTCAGCTCGACTGAAAGGTACGAAGAGGTACAGAGATTCCTCTCCCCTCTTCGAGCGACTTCGTACCTCTCCTTTTAGTCGAGCGACTCCCCTCTCCCATAGGTCGAATGAGTTTCACATAGTGAAACGAATTCTCTAGTGACTTCGTACCTCGAAGAGGTACGACCAAAGGGAGTCCCTCGAAGAGGTACGACCAAAGGGAGTCCCTCGAAGAGGGGAATTCGTTTCACTATGTGAAACTCATTCGACCATAAGGGAGATACGTAGATTTGAGAAAGGAAGAAAGACATAGGGAAAACGAAAACCATCCAGGGATCCGAGCAAGCCACACCAACCCAGCCGTATAGTGCAGGAGCGCTCAGGCTTACTCTTTCACTTGAATTTGAAACGTTCCTATCGCCCGCTTAGAAGTGGATTCGAACCACTGACACAAGGATTTTCAGTCCTTTGCTCTAACCAGCTGAGCTACCTGAACCACTTTCCTAAAGTATGTTTTATTCATCGAATAGCGCCCTTGACTAGTAAGGAAAATTGAATAGATAGGCTTTTTCGCGCTAGCGCCTCTCCCGTTGGTCGTACCTCTTCGAGCGACTCCCGTTGGTCGAATGAGTTTCACTATTCGTTGACAGAGAACAGAGATTCGTTTCACTATGTTACACTCATTTCGTTGAACTAAATGAGTTGAACATAGTTCAACGTTTGAAACGAATGAGTTAGACGAATAGTGAAACTCATTTCGTACCTCTCCATATCAGTCGAGTGGCTTCCGCTCCTAGTCACTAAGAAGTGCTATTCTGTCCTCCTCTCACCCGCCCGTTTCATTTCCGTGCCGGAGGAAATGGGATTCGAACCCATGATACAATCTTCTTGTATGTCGATTTAGCAAACCAATGCCTTAAGCCACTCAGCCATACCTCCAAGTTGTTGATCGGAATGGAATTGGATGTGCCGGGTTCGATCAACTACGTAAGCCGTAGCGTTAGACTAGAAGAAATAGGTACGATATTTGAAACGAATCTTCATATCTCGATATCTCGAGAGGATCTTTCTCCAATAGCCTGCCCCGATCCGGCCCTCGATATGGCGAGCTGGAATGATCGATGGTGAATACAGTCTCGCAACTTACCCATCAACCTTGCCAATAGGTTATTCGTAGAAGGGGTTGGTTAACTGCCTATAATACTATAATAGAAGTATGAAACGGTAGGCTTCCTGCCTCTATCTATCCCGTGAGTGGAAAGGGGTACTATCAAGAAAGTAATGACTCATGGCTTCGATCTGACCTTCAGGGATCGGGGCTCTCGACAATNCTACGTAAGCCGTAGCGTTAGACTAGAAGAAATAGGTACGATATTTGAAACGAATCTTCATATCTCGATATCTCGAGAGGATCTTTCTCCAATAGCCTGCCCCGATCCGGCCCTCGATATGGCGAGCTGGAATGATCGATGGTGAATACAGTCTCGCAACTTACCCATCAACCTTGCCAATAGGTTATTCGTAGAAGGGGTTGGTTAACTGCCTATAATACTATAATAGAAGTATGAAACGGTAGGCTTCCTGCCTCTATCTATCCCGTGAGTGGAAAGGGGTACTATCAAGAAAGTAATGACTCATGGCTTCGATCTGACCTTCAGGGATCGGGGCTCTCGACAATCCACGGGGGAAGAGTCGTTGGAGAAGCTTCGAGACGATCTCAATCGGGGCGGGGTTTCCTTCCACTCGTTGAAGACCAAAGTATTCAGAAGACCGTAACGTCAGTGCAGTTTGCCTTGTAAAACGAAAAGGAAATACGAACAACCGCGCTGGTCGTAATAGATTGAAGGGAAGGACGGTATGATACTTTCTGTTTTGTCGAGCCCTGCTTTGGTCTCTGGTTTGATGGTTGTACGTGCTAAAAATCCGGTACATTCCGTTTTGTTTCCCATCCCAGTCTTTCGCAACACTTCAGGTTTACTTCTTTTGTTAGGTCTCGACTTCTTCGCTATGATCTTCCCAGTAGTTTATATAGGAGCTATAGCCGTTTTATTCCTATTCGTTGTTATGATGTTCCATATTCAAATAGCGGAGATTCACGAAGAAGTATTGCGCTATTTACCAGTGAGTGGTATTATTGGACTGATCTTTTGGTGGGAGATGTTCTTCATTTTAGATAATGAAAGCATTCCATTACTACCAACCAAAATAAATACGACCTCTCTGAGATATACGGTTTATGCCGGAAAGGTACGAAGTTGGACTAATTTGGAAACATTGGGCAATTTACTTTATACCTACTATTTCGTCTGGTTTTTGGTTTCTAGTCTGATTTTATTAGTAGCCATGATTGGGGCTATAGTACTGACTATGCATAGGACTACTAAGGTTAAAAGACAGGATGTATTCCGACGAAATGCTATGGATTCTAGGCGGACTATAATGAGGAGGACGACAGACCCACTCACGATCTACTAAAAGGAAANATATTCAAATAGCGGAGATTCACGAAGAAGTATTGCGCTATTTACCAGTGAGTGGTATTATTGGACTGATCTTTTGGTGGGAGATGTTCTTCATTTTAGATAATGAAAGCATTCCATTACTACCAACCAAAATAAATACGACCTCTCTGAGATATACGGTTTATGCCGGAAAGGTACGAAGTTGGACTAATTTGGAAACATTGGGCAATTTACTTTATACCTACTATTTCGTCTGGTTTTTGGTTTCTAGTCTGATTTTATTAGTAGCCATGATTGGGGCTATAGTACTGACTATGCATAGGACTACTAAGGTTAAAAGACAGGATGTATTCCGACGAAATGCTATGGATTCTAGGCGGACTATAATGAGGAGGACGACAGACCCACTCACGATCTACTAAAAGGAAAGTTTCCCAAGAGTTGAACGATTCGTTTCAAATGAGTGTAACATAGTGAAACGAATTCTCTAGTGACTCCCTCGACCGTAAGGGAGAGGTACGAAGTCTCTGCGGGGCTACCGCTCGTTTATCAACTTGTAACTATGTTACACTCATTCAGTTCAAGAAGTCTAACGAGTAAGACAACGAGTGTACAAAGTGAGAGGCCTATGCTTCCTTTACCGATCTCAAGTAAGCGTAACGGAGCAGGAAGAGCTTACTATCATAGCAGCACATACAGAGTGCCAGTTCCGCTGGGTTCCCAAAAGAGCTATTCCAAATCGAGAGGTCAGGAAGCCCAACCAGACTACGGCTACGGAGGGCGTCTTTTTTCTTCTGATGCTCAGTACCGGACATTAGCCATCAGCCATCCCCTTTCCCTTAGATTCCAAGCACACTTGTGACGATCCGTTCCTCCAGCCGCTCGTTGAAAGATCTCGCGCAATCTAGGTTTGATCTCGATGCCCGGGAGCGAAGCGAAATTGTCGTTGATGACCTAGCGTCCGTCATCTTATAAGATGAAGAAGCCCTGGACGAATCCACGGCTGGGTACGTGCCTCTTTAAATCATTTCGGGAGACCTTGTTACAACTAACTGCTGTTATTGAAATATGATAGTCGGGTAGGGAAAGGTTTCGTACCTCTCCTTTTAGTCGAATGAGTTGAACTATCTCTGTTCTCTGTACCTTGGGTCTCTATAAAACAGAATGCAAAGCCCGGGTGGAAGCACAAACAAAAGGAGAGAAAGAATATAAATATAAAAATATAAAAAAAGGCGCATACGCGGGAAGGGGGCTCCCACTGGGCGAGAAGTGCACCTAACCCACCTACCCACTCATCAATCACGGTGTAAGGGATTCGTTTCACATAGTGAAACTCATTCAGTGATAGACCCCTATTGTATAGGATGTATAGGAACGAACGAGCAACTCCCGTTGGTCGTACCTCTTCGAATGAGTTGAACTATGTGAAACTCATTTGAAAGAGGTACGAAGTCGCTCGAGCCCATCTTTTTACTGTTGTCAATGAATCTCTTCAATGTTCGATTCTACTCTATGTTAGAACATTTCTGTGAATGCTATTCTGATCTAAGTGGTCTTCTTCTTTGTCCCGTGCTAGGAAGCATTACTCCTCTTTTCATTCCAAATTCAAGAATACGACCGATACGATTAATTGGTCTGTGCGCCTCTCTTATTACTTTTTTGTATCCCCCTGTTCTTTGGATACAATTCGATCCTTCTACGGCCAAATCTCAATTTGTGGAAAGTATTCGATGGCTTCCTTATGAAAACATAAATTTTTATTTGGGTATCGACGGTATCTCTTTATTCTTCGTGATATTGACCACATTTCTGATCCCTATTTGCATTTTAGTGGGTTGGTCTGGTATGAGAAGTTATGGGAAAGAGTATATTACAGCATCTCTAATTCGTGAATTTCTAATGATCGCCGTGTTCTGCATGCTGGATCTTCTACTATTCTATGTTCTTCCCGAAAGTGTGCTAATCCCTATGTTGTGCGGAGCTGAGCATCTTCTATTCGCTGGGATAAAGCTTTTCCTCTGCAGGGGCCTTGTGCAGTAAACCCCCTACGGGCGGTCGTCCGTCGTCCTAAAGTAGTCCCCGCGAAGCTTTCGGGAAGAGGGGTAGTCTTGTGTGTAAGCATAGCATTTCTGGTCGAACCCGCCCAACCCAACTAAGAAGAACCGAACCTGTTTTTCCTTTTGGGAGGGTACTCCGAGTAGTGGGTACCTCGTAGGACCTCGACCCGCCTACTCGGGTCTTGTATGGATATGCAGGAAGGGGTGCTCCTAGGTGTGTGTAGGGGTTGTGTTTGTTCGCGAGAAAAGATTTCTCGTAAAGTCAGTTTGGGGGGTGTGGACACACTTGCGCGAATTCGGGTAACGGCTACAAGGGAGAAATCGAAAGGAAACTGTACCCGACCAGGGATGGACGTAAACTCGTAAGCTACCGAAGGTAGGGATAATCGTCCAGGTCTTATTGTGAAAGAAAAAAGCCGCCCCGCCACAGCAGACGGGTTTCGTCGCCGGGGAGCTCTTGGCGAGGAGACCTTTGACCTTTGGAGAATTTGCTAAAACAAACGGATCGACCCGTTCAGTAGAATTACGAAGAAAGACTGTTGGTTCAAAAGGAAATGCGGACAGGGTAGAGCTCGGCAGAGGGTTCGAGAATAGACTAGAAGACATAGGTACGAAATGAGTTAGACGAATTGTTCAACTCATTTGAAACGAATCCCTTGTAGCTCGACTGAGTCGCTTAGTTTCACTATGTGAAACTCATTCACTGAGATACGTATCTTGATACGTATCTTACGGCTTCCGTTAGTTCGTATTCTATTATTCTAAAGGAGCTCCATACGTAGTAACTCGAGCAGGTAGGGGTCCTGTCCTTAAATAAAAGAGTTCCAAACCTTTATGTCCGTACAAGTTCCGGCCAGGATGATTGAAAAAGATGAAACCAATTTGAACCGCTCACATCACAGTAGTAGTAGCGTAAAGGCCGTACTATTTCCGCTGCGTGAGCAACCCGACTTGCTTTACAGGCCGCACTCCTCTCCCCTCTTCGAGGGACTCCCTTTGGTCGTACCTCTTCGAGGGACTCCCTTTGGTCGTACCTCTTCGAGCGACTCCCGTTGGTCGAGGTACGAATTCTCTAGTCACTTCGTACCTCTTCCCAACGAGCCCATTTTTCTTTTTATTTGGAATTTGGAAGAATTCGCATGGGTTCTCCAGATAGGGCCCCACTAGTCCGGCTCGGTTCGGGCATCTCCCGCAACGCAAGCACCATTGTTCGACACCACCCGAGGAGCAAAATATTCGAGAGTCCAGGCTGAAAATACATGCATAGATTGGTCTAATGCCAAGGCCGACGACGGAAGCTCGGGACGGAGCCGTATGAGGCGGAAGTCTCACGTACGGTTCTCTGAGAAGGGAGTGGCTACCTACTGGAGCTTCGACCAACCAAATTCCGCTTTGGGGCCACCCCTTACTCTACCATTATTATAGGGGTATGGGGTTCGAGACAAAGAAAGATAAAGGCAGCATATCAGTTTTTCCTTTATACTTTACTTGGATCTGTTTTTATGCTATTAGCTATTCTGTTGATTCTTCTCCAAACAGGAACAACCGATTTACAAATTTCATTAACCACAGAATTTAGTGAGCGGCGCCAAATCTTTCTATGGATTGCTTCTTTCGCCTCTTTCGCCGTCAAAGTGCCTATGGTACCAGTTCATATTTGGTTACCCGAAGCTCATGTAGAGGCACCTACGGCAGGATCCGTCATCTTGGCAGGAATTCCTTTAAAATTGGGAACCTACGGGTTTTTAAGATTTTCAATACCCATGTTTCCCGAAGCGACACTTTGTTCCACTCCTTTCATTTATACTTTAAGCGCGATTGCTATAATATATACTTCCTCGACCACTTTAAGGCAGATCGATCTTAAGAAGATCATTGCTTACTCCTCAGTAGCTCATATGAATTTGGTGACTATTGGTATGTTTAGTCGGGCGGCGGCCGTTAGGTCACCTATTTTGAGTTATGGACACACAAGGCCAAAACATGTGTGCCGGGCGTGCGACCCATCAACCTACTAGCAATGGGGGAGAAAACATAGCATGTCGCAATAAAAGGCGTCAAGCCCTTTTTCGGGGATTCGTTTATCTCAAATTAGTGAATGAGTGTAACATAGTGAAACGAAATGAGTTCAACGAATCTCTGTTCTCTAGCAAACGAATCAAGGAGCTACAAGCCTGTAGGTCCGCTAACGTCAAGCGAGGAGTTGAGCCTGAACTGGCGAACCGAAGTCACTTTCGGAACCATACTTCCTACAGCTAACATGTGTCCAGTCCAGCGGGAACGCGCAGCGCAAACGAATCGGTCTGTAGCTGCTATACCGAATCCCCCGCAGGCCATCGGGGACCGAGTGGTAAGGCCATGATCCGCAGGGGAATGGATCACTCATTCTTCCATTGGGGACAGGTGCACGAACGACAACTCCAAACGTCATACATCCGCCGCCTACCTACCGTTTAGGTGGCACCAGCGAGATCCAGCCCACGGAGCGGTAAGGAACTTTGTGTCGCGGCTGCTCCACTCCGCTGCGGTCTCATGAACCCTTCCCGCTAAGAAGCGAAGAATGATTCATTTGGATCGACGAGCTTTTTCGGCCAGAATCAATGGAATGTCTGTCTATCCAATTCTATCTGTATATCTAGGGGATCTCTCTATACATATAAAAGCATGCCTAGCCGTAGCCGGATCAGATCTTTTGGACCTAGCGAAAAGGACTCTAAGCCTTCAGCAAGCAAGCGCGAGAGAAGCGGAGCAGAGCTATTCGTTTCAAATGAGTTTAACATAGTTCAACTCATTTGAAACGAATCGTTACACTCTAGCCACTTCGTACCTATTCCCTATACGAACGAAACGTTACACTCATTACGTATCTCAGTTTGAGTGAAACTCATTTGGTTTCATAACCGTTCAATCTCTAAGGCGGGTTTCCGGAATGAAAGCCCTAGCTTCTATAGTTCGCTGCTTTTCCCAGGCCGGAGAAGGGCTTATACTGCTCGCCTTTGTTTGATATGTTCATTCAGTACCAATACAAACTAAAACTACACCAAAGCGTCACGAAAAAAACATAAAATAAGTAGGGGGCTTAGCCCGCCCGCCTACCAATCAAAGAGGCTGAGAGTAAGCGTAAGCTCTTCGAGCTTCCCTTCATTCGCTTCGCGGGAGCCGCACAGCACATAGCTGGAAGTCAGAGGGCCCATACTACCTGCCTAACCCTTCGCTCCGAGGTACGTAGTAGCTCTGAAGAACAGAGAACATAGAACAGAGATTCGTTTCAAATGAGTTGTTCGTTGAACATAGTTCAACTCATTTCGTTTCAAACGTTGAACATAGTTCAACTCATTCGAAGAGGTACGAAGTGACTCGACCAACGGGTTTCGGTGAAATTGCGTAGATCGGAAAGCGCCTTCTAAACCAAGGGAAGGGGCCTATGTATTTGCATGACCACCCGGAGCCACTCCCCTAGCGGTCCTGCCACCACGCCGCAGAACGGGAGCTCGTGTGGAACCTTTTCTTCTGGCGTAACAGCGGTAGAACGTAACAAAATATGACACCCGAAGCACAATCCTATCTCCGAGTTTACCCCTTGCACTTCGGACAGCCGTCCGTAGCATCATAAGGAGGAAGGTTCAAAAATAGTCTATAGAACTATAGCTTGTTTGGGCCTACCTATCCCGAACGGGAGGTTCCATATTGCCGACGTAATCGTAGTATGTCACGTTGTCTCGTCCCCGCTGCATCGAAGAGTACCTATGCACTATGTTCCGGTTCACTGATAAGGAAGATAGAGTTGGGGTGGGGGTCTACGATGTGATACTAAAGTATGAACATGCTAACTATGGGTAGGAAGCAGGAACATTTCGGGATCTCCATCGATCGACAGAGCGGAACGACCAGAAAAAGAAGTGAAGTTAGAAAGCCGTATGATAGGTGGTAACTATCTTGTACGGTTCGGGGGGTAATCGGCGTACTCCGAATAGAGCGAAAAGAAAGAAAGACTGGAATACTATTATACTTCTTTAACTGAATGAGTGTAACGAAAAAGGTACGAAGTCACTCTGAAGAACAGAGAACAGAGAACATAGTTCAACTCATTTCGTTTCAAATGAGTTTTCTAACTACGTTCAACTCATTCGAAAGAGGTACGAAGTCGCTAGAGAATTCGTTTCACTATGTGAAACTCATTCGAAGAGGTACGAAGTCGCTAGAGAATTCGTTTCACTATGTGAAACTCATTCGAAGAGGTACGAAGTCGCTCGAAGAGGGGCTATCGCTCGTTGAGCATAGTTCAACTCATTCAGTGGGGGAGGAATCTTTGGCTCTATCGAACATACAGGGAATTGGAGGTAGCATTCTACCGATGTCAAGTCATGGACTGGTTTCTTCAGCCCTTTTTCTATGTGTTGGTGTTCTATATGACCGACATAAGACTCGACTTGTTAGATATTACGGAGGTTCAGTGAGCACCATGCCGAATCTCCCTACCATTTTCTTCTCTTCCACTTTGGCCAATATGAGTTCACCTGGTACTAGCAGCTTTATCGGGGAATTTCTCATCTTAGTAGGAGCTTTCCAAAGAAATAGCTTAGTAGCCACATTAGCAGCGCTTGGGATGATTTTAGGCGCGGCCTATTCCCTTTGGCTATATAATCGTGCGGTTTCTGGTAATTTAAAACCCGATTTCCTCCATAAATTCTCCGATCCAAATGGCAGAGAAGTTTCCATATTTATACCTTTTCTTGTTGGAGGGGCGACCGTCCGTTAAACTACCAAATAAAAAAGGGTAACCCAATGTGATCATGACATTGTAGGTGCTTGCGATGGGACGGATGCGACTTCCCTCAGTTGGTTTGGGTGGCATAGCCCGTTGCAGAAGTCCCCCTTTTTTTATCCCTTTAGGGAGCCAAAGCTTGACTTTACTAAACTAATAAATAAGGCTCCGTATCTTGCTGGGTGAGACCGACGAAAGGGGATGGTACTTCTCGACCCTGTCTCCGAGGGACAGTTGAACGAGCGACTCATGAATGCTGCCAGCCAATAACTCGAAGGCGTAGGGAATAGGGAAAAGGTACGAAGTTGCTCTGAATGAGTTGAACTATGTTACACTCATTTGAAACGAATCGTTGAACTATTCGTTGTTCGTTTCACTATGTGAAACTAAATGAGTGTAACATAGTGAAACGAACAACTCATTCGGTCTGTTTTTTGAGCAAGAATCACAGCCTGACCTTATCTTCACCATGATACGGACTCCAAGTTCTTATGGCAGAGCACGAGGAGATTGATCATCAATGGAATGGAAACCAGAAGCACGACTGGTCCAAAATAATAAAACCATCAATAACAGAAACGTAAGCATGAGACTTTTTGGTAGTACCGGTGAACCAGATGGCCGCGGCGATGGAATCTGGGACGGAGGACTTGTAGTATCTCTCTAGATCGAAACAAAATTCGAATGGAGGCTGACCGCTGAGCCCACTCTGGCCTCGCAGGGCGGGCCCCTGTGGTTGCGAGCGGCTGCCATAGCTTATGAATGGGAGGAAAGGATAACGAGCGCGGAGCCCGCCAAGCGGGCAAGTGCAGGGAAATGAGTTTGGTAGGCCAACAGCCCAGTGAACCGGGCGGGGCACACTGAAGGAAAAGATACGTATTCGTTTATCTCAGTTCAGTGAATCGAAAGGCTTCCGTTTCCGTTCTGGGGCTTTCGTAGTTGAGAAGGGGGAAGGAGTCTAAATCAATGGACATGAATGAACCATCATTGATGGACGTTGCACATGACACGATCAATTCGACTCAAGGTCCGGCGCTAATAGAAGTTGCTTACTTTCCTAGTAGCGAAGGTTTTTCGTAGTAATAGTGGGCGGAGATCTATGCCGGCCGTCGGAATCAAACGAAGGTCGAAGGACCATTCGATTCATTAAGGGGCATAGCGGCGCCATATGAGTTGAACAATTCGTTGAAAACTATGTGAAACGAATTGTTCAACTCATTTCAAGTAATACGTTACGTATAACTCGGTAGGAATAAAGGAATAATAAAAAGAAAAGTCCAGGTTGGTTGGTGAGCCTAGTGATAGGAGACTATCTAGCTTGGTTCGGAGAGCACTTGTTGAGTGAAAGATTTTGTTGTTGCTAAATGTATGTTACGGCCTCAATGCTGAACTATTGACCCTACTTGTTCGGATGGGTGTTCACCCCAAAGTGTTCCCGGACCGCATGCATACATCCGTAAGTAACTTAGTGCAACATGGCAAATTTCATTGAGAGGAATCAGCAAAGAAAATAAAAACGGGTCAAAAACATTCAAATCGGGCTGAGGAGTGTCCACATGAGTTCGTTGAGGTGTTTACACAGGCCTGTGGTCCTATTTTATATTATGTCGAGAGCCACTTAAGTAGAACGAAAAGAAGAGGATCTCCCTCGCAAACGTGCACTAGTAAGTGGTAAGCTAGGGAAAGGGTCAGCGAAGAGAAGACTCTTATACTTCTTGAACTGAATGAGTGTAACATAGTGAAACGAAATGAGTTGAACTATGTTCTCTGTTCCTCTAGCAACTCATACCCAACCGGTGATTTCCGTGAGCAAGAACAAGTCTCTCTCAGTCAATCATACATGCTCCAGTTATATGGTAATCCTACACTTAGTTTATGATGGATACGGATTTCCCTTCTTCAGCTACTTCGACTAGTTCTTCAACAGCGTCCGACGCGCAAAGTGCTTCCCCTGACTTGGCCCAATTATTTAATAAAGTTTGTGATGAATACAGCAGGTGTGTGCATGAAGCCGGGAGGGTCTTGCCCCCGGAATGGACCATGCCTGAGCTTGTTCGGACAGTGCTTGGGGATGAAGCACGGCTTTCTGACGGAGATGTGATGTTATGTGGCACTCGTAGTTGGGGATGCGAGGAGCTGTCGATCTAATCAACTATGTATTTTAGTAGCTGCAGAACTCACGACTCTCTTAGGGATGCTGAAACGCGGCGTGTTCGAATTCTGATCTTCAACCAACTATCTTTTTGAAGCAGATAGTTCACAGTGCTTCTTCTATATATATTATATATATACTTGAAAAGCCAACTCATGTTTCCACTCTATTTTCATTACGAAGATGTATCACGTCAGGATCCGTTGCTCAAACCGAATCACGCCAACGTTATGGAAGTTCCTGGATCGTGTAAAATAAGAGTAGTACCAAAGGCAGCACCTTCTATCAAAAATGGAAAATTGGCTATGGAGATTCCGTGCGGTCAGAAATTCATACAGACACAAAGGGCTTCGACAGGAAAGTCGTTTCGATCCAATCCATTCTTTAGGTCAAATAAAGAAAAAAAAGGATATGTCAGTGACCTAGCACGACAAAGCACTCTCCGAGGGCATGGAATGTATTCTTTTTTGGTCAGAATCTCCACAGTAATGTCTCTGTTAGATTCTCCGGTCGAAATACGGGAAAACTCCATTCAATTCTCGATGGAAACGGAGTTTTGCGAATTCTCCCCGGAACTGGAAGATCATTTCGAGATCTTCGAACATATTCGAGGGTTCAATGTGACTATTGTCACTTCGGCCAACACACAAGATGAGACTTTACCACCATGGAGCGGCTTTTTGCAAAAAGATGAGGGGGAAACTCAGTAAGATGTCGGAGAAGCAAAATATACGAGATCACAAACGTAGATTGCTCGCGGAATTGAGACGAAAGCTTTATAAAGC